CCCATGTCCACCCAATCTTTCTAACTTCATTCTCCAGCTCTCTTCTCCTTGTATTTTTTGGCCTTCCTTTATTCCCATGCCCCTGTGGGTTCCAATGCAAAGACATTCTAGTTATGCTGTCCTCCTGTTTTCTCAGTGTGTGCCCTATCCAACGCCAGCGTCTTTTCCTCACCTCTTGGTCCACTGGAGCCTGTTTAGTTCTCTCCCAAAGTTCTACATTAGTTATTCTATCATACCATTTTATTCCCTCTATTCTGCTCAGGCACCAGTTGATGAATGTCTGTAATTTATTAGTAATTGCCTTGGTTGTTCTCCATGTTTCCGCCCCATACAAAAGTACTGATTTGACATTAGAATTAACAATTTTTAGTTTAGTATTTCATTTAATTTCTGTTGACCTCCACAAATTTCCTAGGGCTATGAAAGCTCTTATTGCCTTTTGTATTCTTATTTTAATATCTCTATCAGTTCCTCCATCTTCATCTACATTACTGCCCAAATATGTGTACGACTCCACGTCTTGGAGTGGGGTGCCATTAAGAGAAACCACATTAATATTTGCCTGATTTTTTCTCATATCTTTGTCTTTCTTTTATGGATTTTAAGACCAAGCTGCTGTGATCTCGCATCAAGTATATTTAGTTTATCTTGCATCTGATTCCGTGAATGGGACAGAAGAGCAATATTGTCAGCGAAGTCCAGATCATCAAGCTGTTTTGTAGGGGTCCACTGAATTCCATTCTTGGTGTTAGCAGTTACTGTTTTCATAGTCCAGTCTATAGCCAGTAAAAAAAAGAGAGGCGACAAAAGACATCCTTGTCGCACACCTTTTTTTTTATTTCAAATGCATCTGTTAGCTTTCCCCCATGAAGAACTCGGCATTTCATGTCTTTATAGTTTGCCTTTACTAAGTTGATAATTTTCTGTGGGACTCCATAGTGCCCCATCAATTTCCAGAGAGAATCCCTATCAATGCTGTCAAATGCTTTTTCATAGTCTATAAATCCAATGTAAAGTGGTGAGTTCAGTTCAATGCTTTGCTCTATTATAATACGCAATGTGGCTATCTGGTCAGTACAGGATCTGTTTGACCAAAAACCTGCCTGCTCATCTCTTAGCATTTTATCAATAGCATCTTTTAATCTTTCCAAAATAATTCTACTTAATATTTTCCCAGGAACTGACAGCAACATAATTCCTCTATAGTTTCCAGTCTCCTGCAGATCGCCTTTTTTGGGCAGTTTCACAAGATATCCTTCTCTCCAGTCTGCTGGTATTTCTTCGGTCTCCCAGACTCTACTGAATAATCTATGTAGCAATTTAAATGTAATGTAATTTAATTTAATTGATTGCTCTTTTACCTAGTTATTTTGGTTTTCTATGTTTATATCTATATGTCTCATGTGTGAAAATACATTATCTCCTATTCTTGTTTGTCATTTAACTTTTTATCTTGTCCATCAGATTGACGATTTTTTAAATAGATCTTTTTTTTTCTTTTTCTAAATATCCTCCCCCCCCCCTCCCCCTCCCCCCCCCCCAATTCATTTTCAGAATGACTTGATAATAGACCCAGGGGCAAAACTGGCCAGATTCCTAGCATCGGAAATTAGAAAGAAAATACGCTTCCGGGTGTTTTATATAGGGAGGGTTGGCTACGGGTGCCGGTAGGGGAGGGTGGAGGATGGGAACCGACTAAATTATAGCCTAGAATCGATACGTGGATTCCGCGAGGTCAGCAAAGTGCATGATTAACACAAACGAGAGAGATGCAAGACGGAAAGGAGTAGTGGAGGCAGTAAGTCAGACAGAGAGAGAGAGAGAGAGAGAGAGAGAGAGAGAGAGAGAGAGAGAGAGAGAAAAAAAGAGAGAGAGTGAGTGTAGAACAAGAACAAAAGGACTAAACAGGCATAGAAAGAGAAGGAGGAAGAGGATAATAATAATAATAATTATAATAATAATAGTAATAATAATAATAAGAAGAAGAAGCAGAAGAAGAAGAAGAAGAAGAAGAAGAAGAAGAAGAAGAAGAAGAAGAAGAAGAAGAAGAAGAAGAAGAAGAAGAAGAAGGTGGTTGTGGATAAAATAAAGAAGAAAGAAAAGAAGAAAAGGAAGAAGGAGAAGAAGAAGAACAAGAAAAAAAAAAAAACCAGCAGTAGCAAGATGTTATAATCCAGAAACACATGTCAGCCACATGCAACTACTTGGCGAAATCTAGATTTATTGTCTGTGTCTTTTTCTTCCTCATTTTCTTTTATATCGCTCGTGTCGAGGGAGATGAAAGGTTCTGCTTCTCGATCTGGTGGCCGTCTCCACAAAAGACAAATAATGATGTTGTAGAATGTTGATGATGTCAGCTTTCCATCTTGTTCATTGTCTACCCTGTGATCTACGTCTTTCACCTGTGTTGTTTATGGTGTCAAGTGTATTCTCTCTAGACGAGCAGAGCATTTGATTTACTGTCTTCGTGAGGAATTTAAAATTGGTTAAATGAAGACTTTTATTATTATTACAGCATTACAAATTTCATCTCTTCTGTCACTCTTGCAGTCCTTCTTAGAATCTCATGCCCATGAATACTTAGTTTGTCTATGCTTTGTTGTGACTGACCATGTATGGCAACTGGTAGCATAGAGGGCAAGGCTTTATATACGATGTTTCTTTCTGCTGATTGGATTGTTTTATGTTGTAAGGGAAGACAGAAAAAAGGTGGGGTGGGGGTGGGGTGGGGGAGGGGGAGGGTAGCTGCCCCTGTACAGCTTGGTTTGCGCTACTACATCTGATGTTAATATGTAAACTATGGTCAGTAAATATTTGACTGTTTATTGTTAGTGTTTCAACTGTGTTTACGTACTGTGACGCTCGTGGACCCTTACCGAAATCAAAGAATAGTAACACTGCGCCTTACCAGGCATGTCGTAAAAGGCGACTCAGGTTAGGGTTGGGCTTGAGGTTGGCTACCTCATCTACAAAAACAATAACCACTAAGAAGGCACGAGCCATGGAAAAGTCAAAAAGAGAAACATGAAAAACCAGCCAACCAAGAGGAGGGTAGGCTCTTCTAGTAGTATGAAAAGGACACGATGTGGAAAAGCTGAAAGGAGTCCGGATCGTCGACGCACCTCCTTTCACTTAGAAAAACCTCCATAATTGGCACCAGGAATGTTAGAACTTTGTACGATAGAGGAAGAACAATGGAAGTATTAGGGAAAATGAAACGCTATAGGATCAGTATTTTAGGGTTATATGAAACTAGATGGATCAGGGAAAATATTCAAAATTCATGGGAAATTATTTTTTTCTCCAGGACATATCGATTATTCACACATTTGTGTGCAGGAAACCAGTATGTTATTGGTGGAAGCATTTTCCTACATAAAAGAATATACAAGGCTACATGGGAATCATCTGACCACAAGACAACCAATCACGATCACATATGCATAAACAAAGAAAAAAAAAAAAAATAGGATGTCAGCGCTTTTGGAGGTGCCGATGTATTTACTGACCATTTTCTGTTGGTAAGTAAAATCAAGTTGAAAGTTAAGAGATATACGAATTCTCTACCTTTGGGGTATGTTTATACCTCAGTTCTACTATCATATTCTTTCGTTTTAGGACGTGTTTCTATCTCAGTTGTCCTTTACTGGTTAATGAGTTTCTTAACCGTACCTTTATAGCTCTACCTCTGGAGTGTGTATTTTAGTTGATTCCTTACCTGCGAAGTATGACTTTATCTTACGAGGGACAATGAACAAGTAATACCTCCTTTTTTTTGTATTTATTTTAATTTATGTAAATACGGCACCAGTATGCTAACAGCTAATGGGGGTCTTCGTGGCGAAGTGGTCAAGCTGTTCGCCTCGCGCTCTGAAGGTCATGGGTTTGTTTCACGGCGGCGCCGTTCAGTTCACAAGTGCAGTTTTAACGGAGATCCCGGGGATCATAGCCAGAGCTACGGCGGTCGTGCTCTATCTAGGCAGCGCTCTCGGCAGGCAGCTTGTTGTTCTGCGGCAAGAGATTGAGTCAAATCAGATGAAATGGGTACATTTAAGTCGATTCTCTCACCGTTACCTTGACCACTGTTGAATCTCCATAAACATACTTCAAACGTTCGTGGATACGAATTGGGATTTCGCCTTTAGTATTGTGGAATTCTATGACACTACGTTGTTTTAACCCAACGTCTTTGGAAACCATTTTTAATTTACAGATTACTCAACGATACAGTTTTTACCAAGAGTAAAGATGGAGGTAATACTTTTTGATCGTCCCTCGTAGATGACATATCATACTGAGAACGTTTCTATCTGATTTGTATCATATTCCTGTCTGTATTCCACTTGTACCATCATACGGAGTATGCTTGTATCTCCTTTCTACCACAGTACGGAGTATGTTGTGTATCTCAATTATACCATGAGATGCTTACCTTTGGAGTGTCTGTATCTCAGTTGTATTATCTATCATATGGAGTATGCTTGTATCTCCTTTCAACTACAGTACGGAGTATGTTGTGTATCTCAATTATACCACGAGATGCTTACCTTTGGGGTGTCTGTATCTCAGATGTACAATCTATCACATGGAGTATTTTTGTAGCTCAGTTGTAAAATAATATGGGGTATGTTTGTGTCCCAGTTTTACCATTATATGGAGTATATTTGTATCCTAATTATACCATATTATAGAGCATGTTTGTATTTCTGTTGTGTGATAATACAGAGTATGTTTATATCTAGCTGTTCCATAATACAAAGTATGTTTGTATCTCAGTTATACCATATTACAGAGTATGTTTGTGTCTCATTTGTACCATAATACAGAGTATGTTTGTATCTCAGGTGTACCATAATACAGAGTATGTTTGTATCTCAGGTGTACCATAATACAGATTATGTTTGTATCTCAGGTGTACCAATATATGAAGTATGTTTGTATCTCAATTAAACCATCATATTAAGTATGTTTTTGTTCCAGTTGTACAATGAAACGCTTACCTTTGGAGTGTGTTTGTATCTGGTCTCCATGGGCTGCATGATCCGGATGCTGTCCCATTTCTTCAGGAATGCCATAAAGGCCACCACCCAGATGATCACCATGACAAGGACCACGAGGATTTCTTCAACCTGGATCGCCTGTTGTATGGCCGTCTTGTTTTCCTCGGCTCCTGAGGAGCAGTCAATAAGAGGTCAACGGAAAGTCAATAAACAGACATTGCAGAGTCAGTGTAATGCAGATGAAAAGTCTGTTTAAGGTCTCAGACGAGATTGCATAGAGCACAAGAAGAGTCAATATAGAGTCAAAGAAGACCCAGTTTAAAGTCAAAGTAGAGTATATATAGTCAACGTGGCAACAATATAGAGTTAATAGAAGAAGGTGTATACTTAATGTAATGAGGAGACTGTGTCAAGTCAACGAAAAGTTATAGCATCAGCTCAGAATAGTTAACGACTCAATGAAGAATCACTAGTGAAGGAATAGTTCCCTTCTACCACATATGGACTCAAAACCAGATTGGACCCTTTCCATATCTCGTGTCGATAGTGTTATATTGCGCTATGAGAAGGCATGCGACCCACAGCCCATGGCGATAGCGAGTGTGATTAGCAAAACACGTCCACGTTAAGAAAAGTCTTCTACAATGATAGCATGTGACTTCAGGACCGTTGTTGTCAACATTTGTGTTCAGTCATTCTCTTGCAGATGTGCTCCCTCCACACAACATGGTCCATCGCATTTTGTTCCCAGGAGTCCACCTCAATACCTGTATCATTCATACCCGCCTGAACATGTCTTTATATCGTAGTAGAGGTCGGCCTCCAAATCTTCTACCAGTCTGTAATTCACCATAAAGGATGTCCTTATGGACTCTGCAATCCTCAATTCTCCAGGTGTGACTCAGCCACCTGAGCCATCGTAGACTGAGCATTGAGAAGACTGTTGTCGTACCTACTCTTTCCAGTATCTTAATGTTTGTGATCTTGTGTTGTCACGTAATACCAACCTCTACATAGCACAAAGCCTGGGCAGTAGGAGAGACCATATGTTACCCATGCATTATGATCCCTCACTCGACCTATCGTGTTCACTCCAAAGGAAAGGTAACACCAGCCCCAGAACCTACACCGAGGAAAAATGCATTCTCCTACTTGTTCATGGCCTGTTTTTTTCTCTTTGGATCCGAAGGAAGATAAAGAATTCAGGTTCTGAATCATCTAGCCAGCTCGACAACAGCTACGATACATTGTAGAGTTTCTTGTGCATGTTTGAAAGCTGTTTGTTATCCCTTTGTTTTTCATGTTCTCTATCTCTATGTAACTCTTTGTCAACGTGACTCTCTCTCTCTCTCTCTCTCTGATGATAGCTTGTATAGTTGTTGATCTGCTCCCCCAGCCCTCCCCGGGCCACTCACCCCGGCACACAAATCATACTAAGACATACACACACGGAGACACATATCCACGAACCATGCAGAACAACTGAAACAAACCAAATGAAACTTCGTGACGACGCCTCCAAGACGTTTCCGTTATTTAATCTGAAAGTGGTGTTACCGTACTTGACTCAAGGAACGTTCCCCAGCTGAGACAGGGCTCTCATGTTGCCAGCGGTTAATGGAGGGACTGGAGACAGCAACAATAATGTCGTTTACAAGAGAGACAGTAATTGCTTGACACACAAGTGGAACCGGGGGGGGGGGGGGGGGGACGTGGGAGAAAGAGAGGGAATGAACTAGATCTAAACAGAAAAATGAAGAGAGAGTAATAAAAAGATGAAGACAGATTTAAATAGAAATAAATGTGAATAGAGAGGTGTAAACACACACACACACACACACACACACACACACACACACACACACACGCGCGCGCGCGCGCGCACAAAAACGCAGAAAAAGAGTGGAGAGGGGGTGAGAGAAAGAGACAGCAGTAAACTCAATAATGTAAAGAGGGAACGACTGAAAGAATTAACAATAATTCTAATGCGTAAAGAACTGGGCACGCAGATATGGAAGGAGATACGGGTAAGTAGAGATGTAGGGATACTAGATAAATAAAAGGAGAGATGTGTAAAGAAAGATGTAAGAGGATGGAAAGTTTACAGAGATAAATGGAAGGAAAGGTATGTAAAGTGAGATGTAAGGAGATTAGTAAGGAGAAATGTAAAGAAAGAAAGATCTACAAGAGAAAATGAGAGAGCTGAGTTAAGTTAAGAACTGATATCACTGCGCTCGGGACATTCACATAAGCGCATCTTCCTCATCTTCAGCAGCAGATGCACATTTCTAATTTCGGTAGTACCAGTAGAAGTCTGGGTGCATATCACGAAACTCATGGCATCTCGCAGGGCGCGAGATTTCGTGCCGGCTCTCATCCATTTCTTGACCTATTCCCACAGGCTGTATGTACTATGCTGTAGGGGTGTAGGGATATGTCCCTTTGCGCCTGCCGTGTATATATACAGCGTGCGCGGAAAAAAAGTCTCCCGTTCTTTCGAGGCCAGAAACGATAGTGGGGAGTCCACTTTCGTGGCAGGCGACATTCAGCGATGGTTTCTTGTTCTCTCTGTCCACGAGTAAGGCTTCACCTAGTTTTCTCTTTTCTATCAACTATGTCTCTTCTGGTCGGCTAAGTCGATGCGAACCGCTTCGTAATGCCGGGGTACCGGGTTCGATCCCAGCTGCGGGCCATACGCCTTGCGTTGGTTTCGACAGTGGTATCAGGGAGCTGACCGTCCAGTAAAGCAATGGCAAACTACATCGACAGTATATGCAATAATGCCAAGCCCATGAATGAAGATCTTAGTAAGATCAACGAATTACTCTTTGCAGATGACCAGGCCTTGATAGCAGATACAGCCATGAAATTGCAACAACATCTAACACCAATGAATGAAGAATGTAAAACAAATAATATGAGAATCAACACTGAAAAGACAGAAGTAATGTCAATAGGAAAAAAGAAGACAGATCTAAACATAGCAATAGAATACAAAGGCATTAAACAGGCATCTGAGTTTAAATATCTGGGAACTACATTTACCGAAGATGGGAAATTGGATAAAGAAATTGACATTAAATGCAGTAAAGCAAACCAAGTATTGGGACAGCTAGCCCCCCTCTTACAGCATAAGCCAATCCCAATCAGCACAAAGAGACATCTTATTCAAAGCATATTTATTCCAACTCTGCGCTACCAGTGCCAGACATGGTCACTCACAACAAACCATAAAAGAAAATTAGTAACCACGGAAATGAGATCTCTGAGAAGGGCTATAGGAGTGACCATAAGAGATAAGATCAGGAATGAGATCATAAGAGAACAAGTCGGCACAGAACCAATTCTGGATTACAGACAAAGACAGCAAGTGAAATGGTTTGCCCACTTAGAGAGAATGCCTTGTGACACCATACCATACAAAGCATACATGGAAAGAGAAGAAGGACGTAGAGCACGGGGTAGACCAAGAACAAGATGGAAGGATAGCATCAGAGAAACTCTAAAACAGAACGATGTGCCTATGGTCAAGGCAGCCAGAAGAGCTAGAAACAGAACCTTATATCTCCCTCGATACCCACAGCGGTAAAAGAGGAAGTGAAGAAGAAGAAGAAGAAGAAACTACTGGACGTAAATTTGCCTAGTGAAACCACACAACAGCCAGGGGCTGATGAGGTTGGTTCTGCAACGTCCTGTTGAGGATACGCAACTAAACTATGTCACTTCTGCAACCGTCACTGGTTTGAGATTTGGTGACATTATTTGGCAGGCCCTGAAAACAGTCGTCGGGGGGGGGGGGGGGGGGGGTGTTGCTTACAGAAAAGCTACTCTGCTTGTCGCTCACCAATACTGACAGTTGACGGAAATTGATGACGAAGGTCAAGTCACCAAGTGAGGCCGCAGTGATGGCGAAGGTCAAGTCACCAAGTGAGGCCGCAGTGATGGCGAAGGTCAAGTCACCAAGTGACGCCGCAGTGATAGCGAAGGTCAAGTCACCAAGTGAGGCCGCAGTGATGGCGAAGGTCAAGTCACCAAGTGACGCCGCAGTGATGGCGAAGGTCAAGTCACCAAGTGAGGCCGCAGTGATGGCGAAGGTCAAGTCACCAAGTGACGCCGCAGTGATGACTGTCGTGGAATGATAAGCCATTACGCATCGGTCCGTAAGACTGGTAACCTGACTTACCTGTAATCGGCAAAAATTCAAACTTGGACTCGCCCGGAAAGATATAGTCCCTTATATCTATATATATAGGCCTTTATTGGACAACATTATTATGTCTACATTTTCTGGTTGCTTTAACTAAACTCCACTTTTAAATGTATATATCTTTGATATATATTAGAGGAGTTATTTGAGGTTTCTTAGAAACCGATGCACTCCTTGCCCATGTATACTAGGGACTTCTTTTTTTACCAACGCCTGAAGTGCGTAAGTGACGCCATTCTTTCTTGCCGGTTCCAAGCGTCCTGACGTGTCAATCTATGCCTGTATAATTTCAATTTCACAAGGCGTTCTGGAATGTCTCAGTTTTTGCATATGCTTGGGATAAATCCTTTGTGAGGAGCTGGCAGAAGTTTCACAGTCCAACCAACACCCACCAACCATAAATAAACCATAAACCAACTACCCACCAGCTGACACCTGTGAAGGTTCCTGACTTCATCAATATGTGGGAGCTTAGAACGCAAACAGCCTACCAGTGCTAGAGCTTAGTGGAGCTCAAAGACATTGTGTGTCCTAACTGGTGATAGAGACTTGCTAAGTACCAGTACAGTGCTGTGTCCTCTATGGTGAGGTACTATCTTACCACTTGATCCAGTGGAGCAGAATTCCCAGAGTCAAAGACAGTCGAATCATCCGGAGCTGAGAGAGGCATCATAGACAGAAAGAAGAGAAGCTAAGTTTGATGCTTGATTTGCTTTGTGCCTCACAGCTCCTATGTTTCCCAATGATGACAAGATGTCATCTCCAGGACCTTCTGTCTGTGTAGTATCTTTGTGATTTGGACCTGATATCCTGAGATCTAGCCTAGGAGATCTGGCATTTGTCTCACTTTTATATATCTATTTTATATTGATTACATGCATTCATTTTCATGGCTGACTTAGGTGTCTCTATTTCACCTTTTTAAGTGTTTAGCAGTTGTGTATGTATGTATCTT